CATGCCTGTAATCCTAGCTACTTAGGAGACTAAGATCTGGAGTGAGGATGGTGGTTTGAAGTCAGCCCCTGGTAGAAAAGTCCCATAAGTCTCATCTCCAATTAATCACCAAAAAGCCAGAAGTAGAGCTGTGACTCAAATAGTAGAGCACCAGCCTTGAACAAAAAAATCTCAGGGGCCAGCGCCAGTGGCTCATGCCTGTAATCCTAGCTACTCAGGAGGCTGAGATCTGAGGATCTAGGTTCAAAGCCAGTTCAGGCAGGAAAGTCCCTGAGACTCTTATCCCAAATAAACCACTCAGAAAACAGGAAGTGGTGCTATGGCTCAAGTGGTAGAGTGCTTGCCTTGAGCTGAAGAACTGAGGTGAGGGATGGTGCCCAGGTCCAGAGTTCAAGCCCCACGATAGACAAAAAAAAACCTCAGGGATCATGCCCAGGCTCTGAGTTCGAACCCCAGCACCAGCACAAAAAATAAAAAATTAGGAGTTGAGCATGGTGACAACATATCTATAATCCCAGCACTTGGGAAACGAAAAACAAACAAACTAACATTAAGGGCTGGGAATGTGGCCTAGTGGTAGAGTGCTTGCCTAACATGCATGAAACCCTGGGTTTGATTCCTCAGTGCCACATAAACAGAAAAGGACAGAAGTGGCGCTGAGGCTCAAGCAGTAGAGTGCTAGCCTTGACCAAAAGAAGCTTTAGGGACAGCCAACCAGGCCCTGAATTTAAGCCCCAGGACTGGCCAAAAACAAGAATAAAAAAGCCAGAAATAAACAAACAAACAAAAAAAAAAAACATTAAGAAGCCAGGCACTGGTGGCTCATCCCTGTAATCCTAGCTACTCAGGAGGCTGAGATATGAGGATTGAGGTTTGCCCAGTCTGAGAAGAAAAGTCCCCATGAGACTGCAAACTCCAATTCCACTCAAAAATGGAAGTGGTGCTGTGGCCCAGGCCTCTAGTTCATGCCCCATAATCGACCAAAAAGATAAAAATTAAAAAAAAAAAGGACAGGTGGTGCAACTCCAGAATAGAGTGCTTGCCAAAGCATGGGTTTGATTTCCAACACTGAAAAAAAAGAATCCCTACTACTAAATAATAATAGTGATAGATTTGGAGAATGTATACAGACGAGACTAGATATTAGATAATAAGGAAATAACAGCTTTGAGGGCTTTTTTCTTTTGAGACAAGATTTTGCACTGTGATTATAGCACAGTCCTACCACACCATCAAAGAAAACTAGTGTGTGTGTGTGTGTACTTCCAGCCTTTTGGTGGATTAACTGGAGATAAGATTCTCACAGACTTTCCTGTCCTGGCTGGCTTTGAATTGTGATCATCATATCTTGCCCTCCTGAGTAGCTAGGATTACAGGTGTGAGCCACTAGTGTGCCAGCTGAAACAACTAAGTTTTAAAAGTGTGATAATATATCTTACTGAAGAGGCAGAATCTCAGAGATCCAAATGGAAGTATTTTCGGATGAAATGATATAATGCCTGCAGTTCACCTTAAAATAATCCAGAAGGAAGCAGGGCGTGGGGATATAAAGCTAAACCAAATTTGGCAGTCTTTGCTGAGGGTGGACTATGGGCGACATGGAGTTTGTTTTGCTGTCCTCTTTCTTTTCTTCTGGAAGTGTTTGAAAAAAATCTCTATAAGCCATGCACTGGTGGTTCATGCCTGTAATCTTAGCTACTCAAGAGGCTGAGAGCTGAGGATTGAGGTTTGAAGCCAGTCTGGGGCAGAAAGTCTGGTCTTCAATAAATCACAAGGAGCTGTGGCTCAAGTGGTAGAGAGCTGGCTGTTAGCAAGAGCCAAGGGACAGCACCCAGACCTGAGTTCAATCCTCAGAATCAATACACACACACAAAAGAAAATGTTGCAGCTGGGAAGGAAGCTTAGTGGTAGAGTGCTTGCCTAGCATGCATGAAGCCCTGCGTTTGATTCCTCAGTACCACATAAACAGGACAAGCCAGAAGTGGTGCTATGGCTCAACTGGTAGAGAGCTAACCTTGAGCAAAAGAAACTCAGAGACAGTGGCTAGCTCTGAGTTCAAGCCTCAGGACTGGCAGGAGGAAAAAAAAAAAAAGCCGGAAGTAAAACTGTGGCTCCACTATTAGAGCAGTAGGATTAGTTCCAAGGCCCAGAGTTCAAGCCCCACCACCAACCAAAAAAAAAAAAAAAAGGAAGAAAAGAAAAGAAAAAAAAGCCATACTGAGCAGGAAACTCTGTGAGTCTTATCTCCAATGAACCATCAAAAAGCCAGAAGTGGCAGAGTGCCAGTGGCTCACACCTGTAATCCCAGGAGGCTGAGATCTGAGGATCTTGGGCATGAAAGGCCATGGACTCTTTTCTCCAATAAATTACTCAGAAAATCAGAAGTTGCACTGTGGCTCATGTGGTAAAGCGCTAGCCTTGAGCTGAAGAGCTGAGGGACAGTGCCCAGGCCCAGAATTCAAGCCCTGTGACCAAAAAAAAAAAAAAAAAGCCAGAAGTGGAGTTGTGGCTCACATGGTAGAACACTCAAGGATAACATCCAGGCCCTGAGTTCAAGCCCAGGACTGAAGTATACACACACAAAAATTAAAATCTGGGTTCACGGCACATGTGACCGCGATGACACTCCTGTACCAGGCCCCAGGAACCTTGTCAGCTCACCATTCATCGATAGGCTTTGCCATAATTAAATCAGTAAAACTAAGTACACACCAGGCGACACGCTGGGTCTGGCAGCAGGCATCTGAGGGACAGAGCCCTTAACCCATGGGGCTGCGCAACACCAGCATCACAGGCGTGCCTGCAGACTTCACGGTCGGACTGGGTGAAGTGCATACCTGTAATGCCAGCACTAGGAAGGTGGAATCTGGAACCAAGAGTTGGAAGCCAGCTGGGGCTACACAGTAACACTCAAAAAAGTCCCCACAACCTTAGGCAGCCTTCCCTCCTCCAAAAAAAAAAAAAAAAATCAACACCAGACTAACTAGACATCCTATTTGACTTGAATAACTGGTGAATTTTGTGTCCAAAATTGAGGGCAGAAACATTTTTACTTTTTAGGTATCCATAAACCTCTCCCTGACCTGTTCTTTTTGCCAGTTGTGGGGGCTTGAACTCGGCCTGGGCACTGTCCCTCAGCTCTTCAGCTCAAGGCTAGTGCTCTACCACTTGAGCAACAGCAGTACTTCCGGCTTTATGTGCTTAATGTGGTGCTTAGAAATTGAACTCAGGGCCTCGTGCATGAAAGGCAAGAACTCTACCACTGAGCCACCTTCCCAGCCCTTCTCCCTGACTTTTGACCCCAAGGACAGTGTAACAAGGGTGGAGGTGGGAGGGACAGAGGAGTTGGGCTGTGCTGGGGTTGGGATTCAAGGAAGCAGAAAACTTTTTTCCCCACTACCATACTCGTCATGGCTGGGGGCTGAGAATGTGGCTTAGTGGTAGAGTTGCTTGCCTAGTATATGTGAAGCCCTGGGTTCAATTCCTCAGCACCACATAAATAGAACAAGCCAAAGTGGTGCTGTGGCTCAAGTGGTAGAGTACTAGCCTTGAGCAAAAGTAGTTCAGGGACAGTGCCCAGGCCCTGAATTCAAGCCCCTGGCCTGGTTAAAAACAAAAAACAAACAAACAAAAAAAACCCCACATTCCCAAGATCACTGTGCACAAGGAAAATGTCACACAGGAAAGAATAAACGCAAGTGGATAGTTGACATTTATTGAACACTATGTCACTATGTGCCGGGCCCTAGAAAAATGGAATCAATGCAGGCTGATCTCTGCCCCAAAGGAGCTCACAGACTAGAAGGCTAAGCACCCCACAGAAGCAAAGGTGCATACGGAATCACAACTTCACAACCAAGTCTTATGTGTTTTCCCAAGTGTATAAACTCTCAGCAACACAACCATGTTGTCTTAAAACAGTCATACCACTGAAAGGACAGACAAGAAGCCACTATGATTAAGGTTGTGCCATCAGAGCCAGATTTTCAGCATTATTTAGGCACACCTTAGGTTAGCAGATGTGCAGTGGTGGAGGCCTAAAAGGTTCATGGTCCCATCCTGCAGTGGTTGAACCATCCTAGACTCAAGACACCTCGACAATATTTCTTTTCTCCACCCCCGCCCTCCTTCTAGCCTCCCCTGGACAAGGTCCCCATATAATCAGTTCCTTCTCCAGAGCTTGTTGGATGGGGTGAATGGACGATGTCCCAAAAGCCCACCAAGCTATAAGACTCCCTCACACTTGGCCTGGCCAGCCCACAGCATATCCTCACCCTTCCCGACAGAGCTGAACTTCCAGTTGGAAGTGGTAATCTATCCTCAGCTTGTCCTTACCTCTCCCTACATGCCCCTGACCTCTTAGGAGCAGTGGGTGCTCAAACCTATGCCGGCCGGGCTGGGAAGGGGATGGACAGACCCCAGAAGCAGCCTGGGGTGGGTTAGGTCAAGACATGCATCTGTGAGATTTGAGGTGGGCCATCTCCTGATCTTGATCCCAAGGTCAAGGCAATATGGGCAGCAGACAAAGCATGGCTGAAGGTTAGGCTGAGGAAAGGGTGGGAGTGGACTATGCCAGAGGGGGCCCACGTGCTACTTCCCCAGAATGGGGTAAGAGGGGCTTGCAGGAAGGCCAGGATGATTCCACTTGAGAAATTCCCCAACTCTGTGCTCCGTGGATGAGTGCTCCTGACCCACTATGGTCTACTGAAGCCTAGTGAACAAATTAGCAACACAACAGTGTGTTTCTGATCTCCTTTCCAGAGTGGGTTAAAGGAGGGAAGCCACTCTTCCCTACGTAACTGACAAGACAGGCCCAGGGGTAAAGCAAATCTTGCCCTGCCGTTGCTCACTGCTCTACCCCTGGGACAGGCGGCCTCTGCCCAGCACTATCTCCCAGCCCTCATGGCGCTCATGTTGGCCCCAGGAGGTCCTTGTCCCCAATGATGGCCCAGACTGAACTCTTAATAAAAAAAAATAATTTATTGTCAACAAAGGCAATATATACAACAGGACAACAGGTGAAAGGGAGAATGGGCTAATGGATGACTTTTCAGGGACGGAGTGGGAAGAGGTAATGGAGGCTTCCTGGTGGAGAAGCCTGAACAAGTTGGGGAGGAGGTGTCCCCCGAGGTAGTGGGACTCAGTTCAAACCCCGCTGTGACCACCTCTGCGTAAGGCACTGTGCCAGGGGAGAGTGGTAGGGGGCTAAACATGGGTGGGAGGAGGTGGAGGGGTCACAAATGATTGGGATGGGTGTTCTCCACAGGCCCAATGCCCCAGCTCACAACAGCGCCAGCTACCACTGCCTACCTCGGGAGCCTGGCCTCAGACCCAGCGAAGGGCCCACACCTACCAGGTGCCCCAAAGTGATGGAGATGATGCTGCCCGCTTGCCCCTCCACCCTGCCTGATATTTGGTGTTAAAATTCTCTATCAGGTGGCTGAGATGATAGCTGAGTGGTAGGCCAAAGGGAGATGCTGCCTTTCTTCCCTCTGCCCCCCAGGAAAGCAAGAACTTACTCCCCACTTTCTGCTTCTGGCTGTCCCCGCACAGTGGCACTGGATTCTGACAGAACTGTGGGCCAGTCTGAGCTGTCACCTGCTCCCACCCCCTTGGTGCCCTGGGGGTGCTTGGACCAGTCTTGCAAGAGGCTGACAGCTGGGGGCTCCTCCATCCGCACCCGGATAACCTGGAGATCCAGTGTCCCTCGAAGCCCCGGAGGGGGAGCTAGGCGGGGACAGAACAGAAAGTAAGAGGAAGGCCCTCCAGAGCCGGCAAATGTTCCTAACAGCTGTTTAAACCATCCTCCTAGGGCCTATGTGAGCGGAAGCAGAGGGCATTGGGAGGCAGCAAGCTTGGCTGGCATAAAGTGTTACCCTCGCAAGCAGGCCAGGCACTGCCATGAAGGGTTCCTCCTGCTTAGTGCTATACATCACCTCTTCAACTCCTACCGCCAGCTGACTCCATCTCATATAAATCCCACTGAGACACCTGGCCCCAGGACTGACTAGGAGTTAACATGGCAATATAGGATGATGCTTTGTCCCCACAGAGCTGTGTGTGCAGAGACAGAACCCTGGTGAGCATAGCAGCTTTGCAGCTTGAGCTGGGTTCTACAGCTACCTTTCAGGATCAGGGGAAGCTATTCAAAATGGCAACATGGGGCTTCCAGATAGCGAGGGCAGAATGTTGTGGCTACCGTGTAGCTACCATGTCTTCTGTGACATGGGCCCATTAAACCGGACTACAGGAGGCTCAACAGTAGAGTGAGCAAGCATAAGGTCCTGAGTTCACACCTCAGTTACCACAAGTTTCATTACATTGGAAAGCAAAACCAGGAACATCAATGGGAACAGCATGGCCTATATTCAAATTCTTTGCAGTGTTGTTTTTCCATTATTTTTAGACACAATTACTGAAAACACAGCAGAGAAAACAGGTACCATTTTGCCATATAGCTTGGAAGCATTTAAAATGACTCCAAGTTTAAAACCACTGGGTCGCACAACTGGGCCAGCTGTTTTGTGTTTGCATAATCTGGCTTGTGTTTCTGGTAAACTATAAGCCCCTTGGGGAAAGTCAAAACCCTACTCATATGCTCATCAACTCAACAATAACTTAGGGCATGGGCAACTCCCATGTTCCCTATACTGTTCTACAGTTGCTAGGGACACAGCAAGTGGAGCCAACCACGCTGACTTCTTGGGACTGACATGCTACTGAGAGCCAACTAAGAACAAAACCAGGCCAGGAGCCAGAGGCTCACGCCAGTATTCTTAGCTACTCAGGAGGCTGAGATCTGAGGCTTCTGGTTTAAAGATAACCTTGGTAAACAAGTCCATGAGACTCTTATCTCCAATAAACTACTCAGAAAAAGCTGTAAGTGTGCATTTACTCAAGTAGTAGAATGCCCAGGCCCTGAGTTCAAGCCCCAGGACTAGCAAAAAAAAGGAAGGATTGGTAAGTCAAAGATACTCATGTTATCCACAGGCAGGAGCAACAAGGAGTGGGAGAGCCAGCAACTGCAGAGCAGAGATGTAGAGGGAGCTGAGAGGCGGCCATAGAGCTGGCGGGAGATAGAGGAAAGAGCAAATGCAGATGCTGCCAGATGCCATAGAACAGCAAGGCAAGGCCAGCCCTGCCAGCAGGCCAGGCATGTGGGGAAGGACACCAGCCTTCACACTGACTGACTTTCACCAAGTGAGAGCAGCAGTGTGAGGAGCCCAACAGTGACTGGTGTGTTTTAGTAAGAACACTGACTGCTGGGCTGGGATGGTGGCTCAGTGGTAGAGCGCTTGCCTTGCATGCATGAGGCCCTGGGTTCGATTCCCCAGCACCACATAAGCAAAAAGAAAAAAGCCGGAAGTGGCACTGTGGCTCAAGTGGTAGAGCGCTAGCCTTGAGCTGAGGGACTGCGCCCAGGCCCAGAGTTCAGGCCCCATGACCGGACCCAAAAAAAAAAAAAAAAAAAAAAGAACACTGCTGTCAGAGAACAGCTGGCAAAGCTCAAAGGCCAGAGACTAGTTAGAAAGTGCAGGCCCTGGGGCTGGGAAGGTGGCTCAGTGGTAGAGTGTTTGCCTTGTATGCATAAGGCCCTGGGTTCAATTCCTCAGCACCACATAAGCAGAAAAAGCCGGAAGTAGCGCTGTGACTCATGTGGTAGGATGCTAGCCTTGAGCTGAAGAGCTGAGGGACAGCGCCCAGGCCCAGAGTTCAGGCCCCACCTCTGACCAAAAAAAAAAGTTGCAGGTAGCAAGCAAGGGGAGTGACAATGAAGGAGGTAGGAGGTAACTCTGTGCTCTACCACTTGAAAGCCATGCCCTTACCCTTTTTATTTTCCAGATGTGATAGCTTATTAAGCCTCACTGCCCTAGAGTCTACCCTTAGCTTCTATAACTCTATTTTGCTTTTATGACTCCTTAAAAGATAGGACTGCACTCCTAGCCGTGAGACTGGTTCCCTATGGTTTAACATTAAAAAAAAAATATTTTTTTTTTGGGGGGGGGGGGGGTCTGGTCGTGGGGCCTGAACTCTGGGCCTGGGTGCTGTCCCTCAGCTCTTCAGCTCAAGGCTAGCGCTCTACCACTTGAGCCACAGCGCCACTTCCGGCTTTTTTCTCTTTGCTTATGTGGTGCTGAGGAATCGAACTCAGGGCCTCAGGCATGCAAGGCAAGCACTCTACCACTGAGCCACCTTCCCAGCCCCAACATTAAAAAATATGCCCACTGTTCCGTTTATGTTCCTAAGTAATTGGTCCTAGAAATGAGCTCTAGTAATGGCCATGCGGCCCTCGCTCAATGCTGTGTTTGGCTTTTCCCATTTGGTTTGGACGAACTATTGGAAGAACTATTAGGAACTTTCCACCCCTGAGCAAACAAGGATGTAAATTTATGTGTCCTGAAAGAAGGCTCAGGACTGCATTTTGGGGCACACGAATGCACAATGTAGTCACTGGCCAGCTAATAAAGACTTTCTATCAACTACTGTGTGTGTGGTTGATATCTCCTGGTAGTTTACTTCATAACACAGATACTTTTTGTCCAGGGCCAGTTGGTTTTCTGTTCTCCAAACTCTCCTTGTCAAGGTGCATACCACCACACTTAGCTTACAGGCATGAGTCAACTACACCCAACTCTAAACTCTGAACCTCTTTTAGAAGCTTACTGATATGGGACTGGAAAAGCAGGACAACTTTGGAGTTTGACCAGAGCAAATGGAAAGATGGGCTGCCAGTTTCCTAGAAAGGGGAACTGGAATAAGTGGTAGGGACTAATGCCAGACTAGCCCTCTACCACTTGAGCCATAGTACCACTTCCAGCTTTTTCTATTTATGTGGTGCTAAGGAATTGAACCCAGGGCTTTGTGCATGCGAGGCAAGCACTCTACAACTAAACCACATTCCCAGCCCTGGATGTTGATCTTTTAGTCAATCAAAAAAAAAAGAGAAACAGAAGTGCCAGGTGGTGGCACATGTCTATAATCCTAGTACTTCGGAGGCCTAGTTGAGGCCAGCCCAGAGTCTCATTGTGAGTGTGTGAGTGTGTGTGTATGTTGTGAGTGAAGGGGCCCCTGCAGTGTGCAGTGCACATGCATACCAGGGCGAGAAAAAGGAACACATGGAACAGCCAGGGGAACAAAGTTGTTGCTAGGAGGAAAGCACGAGCGACAGGTCTACTCCCTGGTGCTGCCACAGCAAGAATGAAAGACCAATCAATGGATTGGGGATGTGGCTCAAGTGGTAGGCTCAAGCTAGGTCTTAAATTCATTCCCCAGTACTGCAAAAGAAAAAAAGAGAGAAGAAAAGAAAGGAAGGAAGGACATAAGAACTGACCACTGGGTTTAATTTTGTGGAAGTCAGTGGATCCTAACAAACAACAATTTCAGGCTGGATTGTGGCAGATAAAACCAAGTGATTCAAGTGGAGTCCACAAAGAGATGACAGGCAGTCAGTAAAGAAAAGGCCTTCAGGATCCAAAGATGCACTGACAGTGGATAGAAGAATAAGAGGTTAAGAAAGGACAAATTACAGCTCTGTGCAGGTTGATGGGGAAGATCTGAAGAAGACAGGGCAACAGAGAGGAGAGACCCCATTGGCCCTAAGCCTGGGGAAAAGGGCTAGCCTTGGCTGGGGGCAGCTCAGTCTTGTGCCAGAAGAAATGGAGCCCTGGAGACAGTGGCAGGGAAGGGGGGAAGGAATGGCTGCACATAGCTTGCAGATGGGCTTAGTGGAAAGAGAGACATAGCTTAGTAAGCAAGTGACCCTAGATGAGGTACTTAACCTGCCTGAGGTCTGCTGCTTGGCAACCTTGGACTGAGATCCCTCCTACTTATACCTCTCATATAGATGGGATTACAAGTCAGTACCACTATACTTGAGCTTGTTGGCCAAGATGGGCTTTTTTTCCTGCCAGGGTTTGCCTATACTTCACTTCCCAACCAAGAGGATGGGATTACAAGTGGGCACTACCACACCCAGCTTTTTTTTCTTCCCTAGTGCTAGGGATCAAGTTTAGAACTTCATATATATGCTAGGCAAGTGGTCTACCCCTGTCTACTTCCCATATACCCCTTGTTTTATTGTTTGTCAGTTGTGTGGCTTGAACTCGGCGTTCCCTGAGCTTTTTTGCTCAAGGCTAATACTGTACCATTTTGAGCCACACCACACTTTGTTTTCTGGTGGTAAATTGAACATGAGACTTTTCTGCCTGGGCTAGCTTTGAACCCCATGATCCTCTGATCTCAGCTTCCTGAATAGTTAGGCTTACAGGCCTGAGCCACTGGCTCCTGGCCACACCCCTTGTTTTTTAAGCCAGGTACTTGGTTATACTGCCCAGGTTGGCCTGTACTCCTAAGCTCAAGTAATCCATATGCCCCAGCCTCCAGAGTTACTAGGTCATTGGGGACCCCCACACCTGACACAGTTTCCCCTCCTGGAGAACAGAATAATACTTTCTATAGCTTATTTTTAGGAGATAGCATGCCAGGGAAGTTCAATATGTAGTAAGCGCTGGAGAGGCGGGGAGCTGGGAATGTGGCTTAGTGGTAGAGTGCTTGCATCTCATGCATGCAGCCCTGTGTTTGACTCTTCAGTACCACATAAACAGAAAAAGCCAGATGTGGCACTGTGGCTCAAGTGGTGGCACACTACCCTTGAGCAAAAAGAAGCCCAGGGACAGTGTCCAGGCCTTGAGTTCAAGCTTAAGGACTAGCAAAAGAAAAAGAAAAAAAGAAAACAAGTCCCTGGTTTCTCTTAGCTCTTACTATGTTTTTCTTTTTTTGTGACAGTCCTAGGGCTTGAACTAAGGGCTGGGGCACTGTCCCTGAGCTTCTTTTGCTCAAGGTTAGCACTTTAACCACTTAAGCCACAGCACCACTTCTTTCTGTTTATGTGATACTAAGGAATTGAACCCAAGGCTTCATGCAAGCTAGACAAGCACTCTACCACTGAGCCACATTCCCACCCATAGGGACTTCCTGAATTACCATGGTCAAGCGTCAGTTCTTGCTGGAGGTGAGGAAGGCAGATGTATGGGGTAGGGATTCAGAAGAGTGAAGCATGGGACATGGGCAAGAGAGCCCCATCCAGAGGTATAAAAAGCAAGCCGGGCTGGGTGCTAGCATTTCACACTTATAATCCTAGCTACTCAGGAATCTAAGATCTGAGGATCATGGTTTGAAGCCAGCCTGGGCAGGAAAATCCATGAAACCCTAATTAATCAGCAAAAAGAAGCTAGAAGTGGAGCAGTGACTCAAGTGGTAGAACACTAGACTTGAGTCAAAAAGCAAAGGGATAGGGCTCAAGCAAGTTTAAGCCCCAATACTGGTTCAAAAAAAGAGAAAGAAAGAAAGAAAACTGGGGGCTGGGAATGTGGTTTAGTAGAGTGCTTGCTTAGCATTCATGAAACCCTGGGTTCGATTCCTCGGTACCATATAAACAGAAAAAGCCTGAAGTGGCACTGTGGCTCAAGTGGTAGAAAGCTAACCTTGAGCAAAAGAAGCTCAGGGACAGTGCCCAGGCAAAAAAGCAGCTCAGAGACAGTGCCCAGGCCCTGAGTTCAAGTCCCAGGACTGGCACTCCCCCTGGCCCCCCGCCCCTCAAAAAGAAAGAAACCTAGGAGAAGTTACCTGTCTCTGGGACAGACTAAGCCCCTTTAGGTCCTGGCCCTAGAACACTCACCAGCCCTGCCCAAATGTCCTATCATTTCACACTCTCCCTTGGATTAATGCATCTGTGTGTATATGTCTGTCTGTGTTCGCCCACAGATGCACCGTTCCTCTAGCAGAAGCTGCGGCCAACCTCTCCTCAGGGACTCTGGAAATGCCAACACTTGACCAACAAGCAAAGACAGGCATGGTCATCTGTCTGAGTTGTCCTTTTGCCAGGCACTGTTGTAGGTACTGAGGACATACCAGTGAGCAGAATGCAAGGCCTGTGTGAGGCTGCCAGTCCCATGGATGCCACATTTGCCCACTACACTCCTGCCAAGTTCAGGTTACAAGTCCCTGTGCCTCATTCAAGCATTCTGACTAAGCCCCCAGGTACTACTCAAACCAATGTCAGCACAACAAAAAAGCCTTCTCCCCGTGACTTACGAGTGGGCCTTCCGGTTCACTTCTCTTCTGTCCTAGACACTGTATCTACAACTCCTCCTACAAAGCCCTTGGAAAACTCTAGAATCTTCCCAGACAGCCTCATATCCAGCTCCCTCAGCTTGGTTAACTTATCCATAGGAACCATTTCAACAACTAAAGCCTTTTTTTCTTTGGGGGGGAGGGGAAGCCTGGTCTTGGGGCTTGAATTCAGGGCCGGGGCGCTGTCCCTGAGCTTCTTTTGCTCAAGGCTAGTGCTCTACCACTTGAGCCACAGCACCACTTCCAGCTTTTTTCTGCTTATGTGGTGCTGAGGAATTGAACTCCCAGGTCTCATGCATGCCAGGCAAGCACTCTACCACTGAGCCAATTTCCCAGCCCCACTTCCAGCTTTTTTTTTGGGGTCCGGCCGTGGGGCCTGAACTCTGGGCCTGGGCGCTGTCCCTCAGCTCTTCAGCTCAAGGCTAGCGTTCTACCACTTGAGCCACAGCACCACTTCCGGCTTTTTTTCTTTTTGCTTATGTGGTGCTGAGGAATCGAACGCAGGGCCTCATGCATGCAAGGCAAGCGCTCTACCACTGAGCCACCTTCCCAGCCCCTCCACTTCCAACTTTTTGAGTAATATATTGGCAATCAGTCTCATGGATTTTTCTGCCCAGGTTGGCTCTAAACCATGTGTGATCCTCAGATCTCAGCCTCCTGAGTAGCTAGGATTACAAGCATGAGCCAAGGGTACCCAAGCTCCAAAGCCATTTCTTTTATTTTTACTTTTTTTTGGATCCGGTCGTGGGGTCTGAACTCTGGGCCTGGGCGCTGTCCCAGTGGTAGGCTAGTGCTCTACCACTTGAGCCATAGCACCACTCTCGGCTTTTTTTTTTGCTTATGTGGTGCTGAGGAATCGTTTCTAAGCACTAAAAAAATAAACTTTTTATTATTATTTTTTAATGATAGGATCATTCCTCCCAATCTTTAGAGAATGTCACCACATATACAAGCATACAGAAAAGAACCTTCTCTGGTTTGGGAAATCTGTCCAGGCTCTGGGTTCCTCCAGCATGGGGCCTCCCTACCACCAGTGAGTTAGCTCCCAACAGACTTGAGTTTTCTGGACCAAAGCCTGCCTTGTGCCTCTTATTCTCCAGAACTTCCCTTGGGAGCAAGTGCCATGACCTTTGTCATTGTATTACTTAAGTGTACTTAAAAGTACAGTTCCCAGACCATCTCCAAGCCCCACAAATCATGCTGTTGCCAACAACACACAGCTACCCTCCTCTGGCCCTCTCCTAACATTTGTAGGCTGATGAAGCCCCATCCCTCCACTGTACCCACTCACCCCAAACAAACTTAAACCTCAAGGATTCTCTGCTCCTCTACTCACCACCCCAGACAGGTAGAGTTTGGGCACAGGGCACCCTGGGACAGGAAACGAAGGCCCGCTTCAAGCATGAGACTGGAAGATCCATTACACAGTGGAGAGGCCAGCCATCTAGGAGATCCATGGGTGAGCGGAGACTCGGAAACACTCAAGTCCAAGTGGGCCGAGTGAACCCAGGGAGGCAGCATTGGAACGTGACTCAAGCTGAAACTTGAGACAGTTAGAACTGTGATCTACGTGAAGGGGTGAGGCCTGTCTTGAGAGGAGAAAAGGGGGCCTGTTTTGGTAAATAAGTAAACAAAAGCAAACACAAATACAGACACACGGAGCTTTGCGAAGAAGCAGAAGAAAGCAATCAAACTGTTAAGAGCCAATGCCAGTGAATCCTCAGAACCTGCAAATGTCTTATTATACAACAAGGGGAATTAAGTTGAACATACAATTAAGGTTGTTAATCAGCTGACTTAGAAGAAGAAATGGGCACTTGCCTAGCCTGTGTCAGACTCTGGGTTCTATGCTCCAAACTACTAAAATGGATAAATAGATCTGCCTGGATTATTTGAAAATGTTCACTGTAAACACAAGGGTCCTTAAATGAGGAAGAAAGTTAGATGACCAAAGATGGCATCTTGAGAACCTCTACTAGCCACTGCTGGCTTTGAGAATATGAAGAGGCCACAAACCAAGGAATACGGGAAGACTCCAAAAGTTAGGAAGGCAAGAAAACAGATTTTTCCCTACAACTTCCAGAAATAAACACAGCCTGCCAATATCTTATGTTTAGCTTAGGGAGACTCATTTTGGTCTTCTGACTATAAAATAAATGTGCTGTTTTAAGCCACTAAGTTTGTAGTAAGTTATTTCAGCAGTAAGTGGGAAACTCATACAGCGGACTCTGGGGAGGAATGAGCCATCTTTTTGAAACTCAGCTTCTCCATCTAGACAAAGGGATACTTGCTCTTTTCATATTAAGTTTTTGTTTTGTTTTGTTTTTGAGATAAGTTCTCACTAAACTCATTCACAATCCCTCCATTTTAGCTTCTTGAGTGCTAGGATTACAGACTGTGCCACCATGCCTGCCTTTACAAAGCATTTTTGTGAGGCCCAAATGAACTGTACAGAAGCTTCTTAAAATCAGTGGACAGATGCAAACACAAGCACTTGCCATCATAGAACTGGTATCTCTAGGGAGTATCTATGTGGTCTTCTTACCTATATCCTCGATACCTTATGGTTTCTGAAACAGGTCTCACTACTTAGCCCAGGCTAGCCTTGTACTCTTAATCATCTTGCCTCAGCCTCCCAAGTGCTGTGATTACAGACACATTTGTGGGAATTGCCAAACACCCCATCTGGGCTGCTTCTGCACCATGGTGAAGGTAAGGTGGGTTCCTCTTGGGCTCCAGCTGGAGAGAGCTTTATGAGTACAACTGGAGGTCAAGGCTTTTCAGGAGATGCCCAACCTAATGACCACCTCCAGAAAAGTCCTGAGAACACTGGGAAATGCTCAGTTGTTTAGCCTGGGCTGTACTACAGAGCAACTTCAGAAGTTGGAACCCAGGATACTGCCTGCCCTCCTCCCTTATGGTCCTCTCAGAAGGGCTCACCTGAAGAGGGGCTTACTGCCTGGGGTAGGCCTTCTCCTGCTGCCTGGCCCTCTTTAGGACAGTCCTTGTTGTCTGTGGCTCTAAGCTGGGTATGAGAAAAGAGCTGGAGGACGAAGCCAGGAGGGAAGGTGCCATCAGTGAAGTGGCGGACCTCGGCTGGTGCTGCAAATGCTTCAGCTGGTGAGTCCGGGGACGGAGGGTCTGGGATGGAGGACAGCAAGAATGGTCAGCTTTTACCCCCAGAGAGCTGCAGATGCCCCTTGCCTGGCCATGCCTACACTATGTGGCCAGGGCCAACACTTACCTGGGTCAGGATCCAAGTTTTTGGTCACTGGCCTTCCTCTCTTCTTTCTCACAGGCTCTTCCCCAGAGGGTTCCTTCCATCTCTGAGTGCGGGACTTCTTATTATTATTTCCTGGCTCTGTAGCAGGGGCAGCTGCAAAATAAAAGATGAGGCCACCATGCCTGAACCCCACAGCCTCAGGCTCCTAACAACACCTTCCTGCCCCAGCCTAGATCATAGGGCTTGTGCTTCACCCCTCACCCCCGCCCACACCACCTTCCCAAGGTCCCCTGTTGACTGACCAAGCAGCTCAAGGGGGCGGAGTCCTCTAGGCCGGCTCCTTTTAGGGAGAGGGTTGTCCTCGGAGTCCAGGAGGACCACGATCTCTGCTGGCATCCTGGCAGGGTTCGGGTTGGAGTCTGGATCTGGCTGGACATCCTGGCCTGATTCTGAAGGGGCAAAGGCCCACTGAGCTCCCAGGGCTCCCACGGGCCCTGCTTCTCCCTCGGCCCCCACCCTCCCTACCTGGGCTCGGTAGGGATGGCTGCTCAGCTTGGACATCTTGCAAAAGGGCCACTCCTTCACTCCAGGCCTCCAGGATGTTGTTCTTCTCAGAGCGGCTCAGATCTAGGGTGTGTGGATGCTGCTCCAGAATGTGCATGCGTGCTGTTTCGGCCGAGGGGAACCGGATCTCTGACCCACACACCATGCACAGTGTCCGCCCACCACCTCCAGGGCTGTTTCCCACCAGGAACTCCTGTTCCCAAGACACTTGCTGCTTGGGCTCTTCACAGCCATCTCCACCTGCCTCCAAAAGGTTGGGCCGAGGTGGCGGGGTCTTCTCCTGTTGGGTTACTGAGGATGGAAGGAAAATGTCTGTAAAGATGCCCATGGCTAGAAATGATGCTTAGAACACATCTATGTGGGGCAGGTGAGGGCCATGCAGCGTTCTTCCCACCAGATCTCACAAAGCTCCAGGCACGTGCACAAAGCCTGTGTGCCTAGCATTACTACGCCACTAATGCCTCTATACCTCTTATCAGTCCTGGGTCTTCGGCTCCGTGTTTCCCAGGTTGCCAGTCTCTGGACATATGCCCAGAACTCTTGACTATTTGGTGACATCATTCCTGTGACATACTCCTGATGGTTGGCTGTAACTGTACTTGATTTTCATGAAACTAAATTTTATCATCTTCTGGTCCCCATGGGGGAGAAAAGATATTCTGTCAGTGGCTCACCTGCTGGTTCCTCTACATGTTGAAGAACAGGTATTTAAAACACGCTCTGGCCCCCTCACAACTAGCCTTGACCAGTGCTCCCCAAGTATTTGCAGTGATGGCTTTGCCCCTACTGAACTATATGCCACCTGTTCTACTGCTCTCTGTGTTCTTGAACTAGCACTGCACAGATCAACCATGGTGGCATAAACCTGTAATCCTAGCCACTCTCCTGTATGAGAAGATCATTGTTCAAGACTAGCCTAGGAGCTGGGCAGGTGGCTCAATGGTAGAGTGCTTGCCTTGCATGGATGAGGCTCTGGGTTCGATTCCTCAGCACCACATAAGCAGAAAAAACCGGAAGTGGCTCTTTGGCTCAAGTGGTAGAGCACTAGCCTTGAGCTGAAGAGCTGAGGGTCAGCACCCAGGCCCAGAGTTTAGGCCCCACAACTGCTTCCCCCGCCCCCCCCAAAACTAGTCTGGGCAAAAGTTAGCAAGGTTATATAAAAAACAAGCTAGAGTTGGACTGGGGATGTAGCTCAGTGATAGAACGCTTGCCTAGCATGCATAAAGCCCTGCACTGCTCCCCAGCACTGCCTCCCCCCTGCAAAAAAAAAAAAAAAAAAAAAAAGTTAAGCTAGAGCCAGGTACCAGTGGCTCACATGTGTAATCCTAGCTACTTAGGAGGCTAAGATCTGAGGATCTCAGTTTGAAGCCAGACCTGGGTGGCAAAGTCTTTTTTTTTGGGTCTGGTAGTGGGGCTTGAACTCTGGGCCTGGGTGCTGTCCCTCAGCTCTTCAGCTCAAGGCTAGCGCTCTACCACTTGAGCCACAGCGCCACTTCCAGCTTTTTTTTTCTGCTTATGTGGTGCTGCGGAATCAAACCCAGGGCCTCATGCATGCAAGGCAGGCGCTCTACCATTGAGCCATCTTCCCAGCCCTCCATGAGTCTCTTATCTCCAACTAACCACCAAAAAGCTAGAAGAGCTGTGGCTCAAGTTATAAAGCACTATCCTTGAGAGAAAAAGCTAAGGGACAGTATCAAGGCCCTGAGTTCAAGCTCCAGAATTGGAACTAAGCCTAAAGCTGGCCGGGTACTGCATAACTGTAGTTACAAAGCAGAGAAGGACCTTGGTCTAAGGCTAGTTCCACATCCCACAATAACAAGATAAAAAGTTGGGGGCTGGGAATGTAGCTTAGTGATAGAGTGCTTTTTTAGCATGCATGAAGCCCTGGGTTCAATTCTTCAGTACCACATAAACAGAAAAGGCCAGAAATGTCACTGTGGCTCAAGTGATAAGAGTGCTAGCCTTGAATAAAAGAAGCTCAGGGACAGTGCCCAGGCGTCGTGAGTTCAAGCCCCAGGACTAGCATAAAAAAAGTTGGGTGCTGGTGGTTGACGCCTACAATCCTAGCTTCTCAAAAGGCTGAGATCTAAGGATCATGCTTCAAAAACAGCCCAGATAGGAAAGTCCATGAGACTCATCTTCAATTAACCAACAGAAACTGGAGAGAGACAAAGACAGAGAGAGACAGAGACAGCCAGTCAGTCAGTCATAAGAGGGAACGGGAGGGCTCAGTGGTAGAGCGCTTGCCTTGCATGCCAGAGGCCCTGGGTTCGATTCCTCAGCACCACATACACAAAAAGAAAAAAGCCGGAAGTGGCGCTGTGGCTCAGGGTAGAATGCTATCCTTGAGCTGAAGAGCTGAGGGACAGCGCCCAGGCCCACAGTTCAGGCCCCACGACCGGAGCCCCCCCCCCCCCCAAAAAAAAAAGAAGAGGGAAGGGGACAAAAAGGGAAGGGGAAGACAGAGAAGAGGAAGGGAAAGAGAAGCACTGATGGGAGAGAAACCCTTTACAACTCACCAAGTGTCTTAAGACCCATGTTAGCTGGGTAGGTCACTGTTTCTGGCAAGGGCTATGGTGGCTCTTTGACCTCTCACTTGCACCAGAAAGGACGAACAAACACAAGCTAACACCTAGGAGCTGTATCCAGAACAGACCTGAGCCTTGGCCTGGGCCAATCTAGGGCTCAGGTGAACTGTACTTACTTCCCATGAGACAGGACCCCCGACCTCTCAGTGGTCATCCATCCTTTTCTACCACTCCCTCAAACCAGCTCTCCTAAAGGTTACCAGTAAACCCAGCAGGAAGTTCCTCAGCCTGTCAGCTTTCCAGCTAGATTTTTAACTCCAGATATATGCAGGGCACCAATCAAGCTTCCTTTTCTGCTTTTCCACTGCTGCTTCTCAGGCACCCTTGCAGGGTTCTCCCCACAGTGGTGTATGTGTGTGCAAACTCTGGGGCTTAAATTCAGGGTCTGGGTGCTGTCCCTGAGCTTTATCGTACTCAAAGCTAGTGCTCTACCACTTGAGCCACAGGTCCATGTCAGGTTTTTTTGGTTTTTGTTTTGATAGATCAGACTCTCAGGGACTTTCCTGCCTGGGCGGACTTTGAACTGCAATCCTCAGGTTTCAGCCTCCTGAGTAGCTATGGGTTACAGGTGTGAGCCCCATCGTTTCACCTTCCCTCCAAAGCATGGCACCTTGTGTCCTCTGCACACTGCAAGCCAAAATTTAGTCTAAAATCTCCAACACCAACAGAGCTTACCAGTGATAAAGGACTGAATTATCTCCACCCTGCCTTCCATCCAGGGCTCTGGTCCTTGGACTCCTTGCTTGGCCTCTTCCCTCTGATTCTTACCTTTATTACTGCCTCTTAATGATGCTCATATTTACACTTCCACCAGAATGCTATATAGCCCAGACTGGCCTTCTTGTGATTCTGCCTCAGTCAAGATTATAGGTATACACCATCAAACTTGCTCGTAATTGGCATCTTGAATTTACCATTTTCAAACCTTAACTTCCAATATCCCAACTCTACATATACCCAGTCTCCTTCCTTCTCAATAAACAGGAAAGCATCCTTCAGTTGCTTAGGCCAAAAGCTTGAAATTCACCTTCTTTCTCACATACTTCAATTATCTACACTTATCTTTTCTCTGCCTAAAAGGCTCTTCCCTCCAGCTATTTCCAGGGCTGGCTCTCTAACTTCCTCTATGTCTGTGGCTCACACCTGTAATCCTAGCTACTCAGGAGGCTGAGATCTGAGGATCATGGTTTAAAGCCAGCACAGGCAGGAAAGCTGGAGACCCTTGTCTCCAATAAACTACTCAGAAAAAGCCAGAAGTGGGCTGTGGCTCAAGAGGTAGAGCACTAGCCTTGAGAAAAAGAAAGAGTGCTCAGATCAGGCCCAGAGTTCAAACCCCAGCACCAGCCAAAAAAACAAAAAATAAAAAACTCATTACTTGACTTACACACTTTATTTTTTATTTTTTTGGGTCCGGTCGTGGGGCCTGAACTCTGGGGCTTGGGCGCTGTCCCTCAGCTCTTCAGCTCAAGGCTAGCACTCTACCATTTGAGCCACAGCGCCACTTCTGGCATTTTTCTTTTTGCTTATGTGGTGCTGAGGAATCGAACCCAGGGCCTAATGCATGCAAGGCAAGCGCTCTACCTCTGAGCCACCTTCCCAGCCCAACTTACACACTTTAATAACAATAAAATTATATTTTTTTAAAAATCACCTTTGCAGGGAGCTGGTGGCTCACACCTGTAATCTTAGCTACTCAGGAGGCTGAGATCTGGGGTTAGTGGTTCAAAGCCAGCCTGGGCAGGAAAGTCTGTGATACTCTTATCTCAAATTAACCACCAGAAAACCAGAAGTGGTACTGTGGCTCAAAAGTGTTAGAGCACGGCTGGGAAGGTGGTAGAGTGTTTGCCTTGCATGCATGAGGCCCTGGGTTCGATTCCTCAGCACCACATAAGCAGAAAAAGCTGGAAGTGGCACTGTGGCTTAAGTGGTAGAATGCTAGCCTTGAGCTGAATGGCTGAGGGATAGTGCCCAGGCCCAGAGTTCAAGCCCCACAACCAACAACAACGTCACCTTATTGAAGAAGCTTCTCCTTTCTAGCTACTCAATAGAAATTTCTTGTTCCTTCCCTTTCTTCTTGCCAAGCTATGTTGTGTGTGTGTGTGTGTGTGTGTGTGTGTGTGTGTGTTGTGTTTGAGGTACTAGAGTTTGAATTCAAGGGCCTTTCATTTCCCTAACCTGGTGCTATACTCACTTGAAACATTATCTCCAAGATTGCTTTTTGCTGGCTGTTTTGGAGATGGGAGTTTAAGGAATTTTTCTGCATGGACAGGCCTCTAGCCTCTATCCTCTAGATCTTAAACTTCCCAGTATCTAAAACTACAAGTGAGAGTCAGTAACACCTAGCTCAATATACTTGTTTACTTATCATTGCCATATATATAAATATATATATATACATATATATATATATTTATATATATGTGTGTGTGTGTGTGTGTTCAAGGCAAGGTTTCACCAGATTTGTTTATTGAGTTGTTACCCTATAAACAATGGTTGATGAATAAACCTCTCTAGACTTCTATTTCCTTCCTGTTAATGGGGATGAAGCCACCCTTACAGGGTTGTTGGGCAGATTAATGGAGATGGGTTAGTAATAACGGAGCATGGGCTAAATGCTAAATATTCTGAAAGAGAGACCCTTTCATTCCCCTGTTTATCACCTGCTTGTCTCCAATAAGGTTGAGAAATGGTGATACATCTAGGTTTGGGTGGAATTACAACGAATGGCTCACCCTATCGGAAAGAGGTATTGGACAATGAAGAAATATTTGCATTTTCATGAATATTAAGTCTTCCACAAAGGTGGCTCTTTTGTTTTCCAATGGTTTGCAAACCCCTGAAGACTAAACCAATTGGTAGAGGGAGAAGGGAGAGCGCGTGCTCCCAAATTGCCCCTCACCTCCCATTAGAGGCTTCTTGATGGCTTTTAGATGGCTGAGGAGGGCGGGGGGCGACCTAGCCAGCACTTCTTTTTTCCTCCTAGTAGGTGTTGGACGCAGTTCATTCATCGCACTTGCTGGAGAACCTGACACCTGTGGCTCCAACAAGGGAAGGCCTGGGGATGGGTGGGAGCGGGAAAGCCTAATTCTTGGAGGGGGTCTTAAAATTCTCCTTTTGGAGGTCCACCCGATACCTCCCTCCACCCTCTGAGTCGCTACCGCGCCCAGTCTCGGGCCTAAAGGCCTCGCCAGCCCCTCGGCCTAAGACACAGCCGGGCCCCGGCGTAGTCAAGGCAGAGCCCGCGTACAGTCGGCGCCCCTCCCGGGGATCCAGTCTCCGCGCTGGGCCCCGGCGAGGGGGCGCCAGGCACCGGAAGATCCGTTTAGCGTCGGGTGTGGATCGAAGTCTCCAGACCCGGGGCCGAGGTGGGGGAGGGGGATTCGGAGAGGCCGGAGATTCCAGACCCGGCGGGGGAGGAGCGCGCGCGCGCCGGGCCCGGACCGGAGGGGGAGGGGCCGCGGGCCGGGGCGCCAGGCCCGAGGGTGCCGGGGGGGGGGGGGGCCTCCCGGGGGACCCAGCCCGCCGGGCCTCGGGGGTCCGAGCCTCCCCCCACTCCCACCCCGGCCGGGAAGCCAAAATGGGGTCCCCGCCATCCTCACCTCTGAGCATCGGCTCGGGGCGCGGTATGACCGCCACCACCACGGCCTCATCGTCGTCCTCCCCTTCCTCACACTTGAGTGTCACCTCAAAGCAGTCGAGCGCGGCGCCCTCCGCCCTCAGGGCCATGGCGCGGCCGGCCGGGGGCGACAACGGGGACCAGACTTCGGAAGAACGGCGCGCAAGGCCTCGTTCGGCTGGTGCAGCAAGCGGGCGGCTGCTCCCCACCAGACACCACGCCGGGCCCCGGAGCGCAGGCCCCGCCACGCGCCGCCCGCCCGCTCACTGGCCGGGCCAGACACAGAACTCAGAGACCCGCGACCCCGGGCGGGGAGGACTCAATCCGGGGCCCCGGGCCCCACCGCTCCCTTTTATAGAGGCTCATTGTCGGTTCCCGCCCGCCAGGCCCGCCCCCTGGCCCTGATTGACCAATCACGAGAGGCCCCACGCAAGCCCCGCCCCCGGGCACGCGGCGTTGTTAGAGTCTTGGAGACCGCGGGCGGCCGGGTGGCTGGCGTGGCGGGGAGGCCCCTGCTTCCCCGGGCGCGGGCCTCGGGATGGTGGGCCGGCTCCACGGAGACAATGCCTTGCTGGGCATTGTTGCTGGTGCGCCGACAGCTAACCGGGGCCCCAGGATTTTTTTTTTCCCTCCCGTGCACGAGCCAGCCAGGAGGTGTCCCAAGGCGGGAAAGGCACTGTGGACAGAGGAAAAGGACCGTAGCCCGGAAGCGCATTCCTTCTGATCTGGCGTCTCTGTGACCTTGAGCAATTTGAATAGCTCATCTTTTCTTCCAAAATGCATTTCGGACCCTTCTGGCAAAGGAATGGAGAATGAAGAGGATGTGACCCAATGGATACGACTTTGTTGGTGGTGGTGGTGGTGGTGGTACTGGAGTTTGAACTCAGGGCTTTACACTTGCTAGGCTGTCACCCTACCACTTGAGCCACACATCAGTCCAGCTTTTTGCAGACTACTTTGGAGACAGCGTCTCCCAGACTTTTCTGTGTGGCCTGGTGTGGAAACCAAGATCCTCTCGAACTCAATCTCCTGAGGAGCTAGGATTATAGGAGTGAGCCACCAGTGCCTGCCTATGTTTGTTTACTTATTTCTTTGTGTGTTGGCTTGAACCCAAGGCCTTACACTCTCACTTGGCTTTTTTGTTCAAGACTGGCACTGCACCAGTTGAGCCACAACCTACTTCTGGCTTTTTTTTTGGTTGTTAATTGAGGATATGAGGCTCACACATTGCTGGGCCAACCTGGGCAGGAAAGTCAGTAAGACTGGGGCTGGGAAGGTGGCTCAGTGGTAGAGCGCTTGCCTTGCATGCCCGAGGCCCTGGGTTCGATTCCTCAGCACCACATAAACAGAAAAAGAAAAAACCGGAAGTGGTGCTGTGGCTCAAGTGGTAGAGTGCTATCCTTGAGCTGAAGAGCTGAGGGACAGCGCCCAGGCCCAGAGTTCAGGCCCATGACCAGACCCCAAAAAAAAGAAAGACTCTTAATTAACCGCCCGCCCCCCCCAAAAAAAAAAACAACTGAAAGTGGAGCTATGACTCAAGTGGTGGAGTGCTAACCTTCAAGGACAGTCCCAGCCCGGGCTGTATTTGAATCACAATCCTCAGATCTCAGCCTCCTGAATATCTAGGATTACAGATGTGATCTACCGACATCTGACTTACCTTTTTATAAATTTAAGTCGATTGTATGGCTCTACCCTAGGGCACCCAGCTATCTCAAGAGATTCCCTAGATCATAATCCAGTTGCCCTGAAAATGCTATTACAGTCATGCACTGAGTGAACTTTTACTCTGTCACATAAAGTGGGTGCTTCTGCTTCTACAAAGACCTTCAGGAGAGATTTCACTGCAAAAACTGACACTGAAAATCCATCTGATGCCATTGTGTTGGCCAGGTACAGAGGTTCAAGCCTGTAATCCTTGCTACAAAGAAGGCAGAGATCAGGAAGACCATATTCCAGGCCATTCAGGGCAAAATGTTTTTGAGACCTCATCTCAATAATAGCTAGTATGACGGACTGGATCTGTTACCCATCTAAATGGGAGCATAAATAGGAGGATCTCTGTCCAGGCCTTCGTGGGCATAAATATAAGATTCTACTTGGAAAATAACAAAACAAAACAAAACAAAACTGGGCGCCAGTGGCTCACACCTGTAATCCTAGCTTCTCAGGAGGCTGAGATTTGAGGATCACAGTTCAAAGCCAGCCCAAGCAGGAAAGTCCATGAGACTCTTATCTCCAATAAGCCACAAGAAAACTAGGAGTAGTGCTGTGGCTCAAGTAGTAGAGCACATGCCTTCAGCTGAAGAGCACAGGGACAGTGCTCAGGCCCAGAGTTCAAGCCCTATGATTGACAAAAAAAAAAAAAGAGTACCTACCTAACAATCACAAATTCAAAGTATAATACTGAGGAACTGCTTAAGTGGCACACACACACACACACACACACACACACACACACACACACACACATACAGAGTACAGTATTGAGTTGGAGCCTTAGTACTACCCATCTTAAAAAAAAAATCAGGGGCTGGGAAGGTGGCTCAGTGGTAGAGCGCTTGCCTTGCATGCCTGAGGCCCTGGGTTCAATTCCTCAGCACCACATAAGCAAAAAGAAAAAAGCCGAAAGTGGTGCTGTGGCTCAAGTGGTAGAATGCTCGCCTTGAGCTGAAGAGCTGAGGGACAGCGCCCAAGCCCAGAGTTCAGGCCCCATGACCGGGCCCAAAAAAAAAAAAAAAAAATCAGGGCTGGGAAGGTGGCTCAGTGGTAGAGCGCTTACCTTGCATGCATGAGGCCCTGGGTTTGATTCCTCAGCACCACATAAAGCAGAAAAAGCCGGAAGTGGCGCTGGGGTTCCAAGTGGTAGAACACTAGCCTTAAGCTGAAGATATGAGGGACAGTGCCCAGGCCCAGAGTTCAGGCCCCATGACCAACAGAAAAAAAAAAAAGAAGAAGAAGAAAAGTTGAAGCCAACTGGTAGCTCATGCCTGTATTCCTAGCTACTTGGGAAGCTGAGATCCCAGGGATCACAATTCAAAGCCAGCTTAGGAAGAAAAGTCTGTGGTTCATACCTGTAATCGTAGCTACATAGCTGAGATCTGATGATCCTGGTTTGAAGTCAGCCTCTGACAGACAAATCTAAAAGACTTTTAAATCTATTAAACTGGAGTTATGGCTCAAAAGGTAGAGCATCAGACTTGAGTTTAAAAAAAAAAGCCAAAGAGAGCACAAGAACTTGAGTTCAAGTCTTTAGAACTTGAACACCAAAAAAACTAGAAGTGGAGCACAAAAAGACCGGAGGCGTGTTTTAAGTGGTAGAGTGCTAGCCTTGAGCTGAAGAGCTGTGGGACAGCGTCCAGGCCCAGAGTTCAAGCCCACGACCAGCAAAAACACACACACACACACACACACACACACACACACACAACCACAACAACAAAAAAAACAGAAGCCTTACTTAACAAGTCCTGAGTTCAATTCCTAGTACCTCAATTTAAAACAACAACAACAACAACAAAAGAAAAAGCCCAAAAAGCTGGATACATGGTTCCTTGGTAGACTATACCAGTCTAACAAGCACAAGTTCAAACCCTAGTACAGGAAAAAAAAGAAAAATGTAATATTATATATCCGTGTTTTTGTCTGAGTAGCTTATTAGGACGGCCCGGGAGAAATGACCCCTTCCCTTGATTCTCTCCCTGTACACCCTAGAAATCCCCGCCTAGGACCTGTAACCCAGGCAACTGGCATGCCTGGGGACAGTGGGAGGTCATTTCCTCATCCTCTGAGGTCACTTCCCCATCCACTGTGACTACGCCCCCACTCCTTCCCTGATATAAACTCTCTCCTCCATAAGCTCTCTTGCTCTGCACACCTCCATCTTGTGCTGGTCGGCAGTTTGGTCATTCTCACAATAAACTCTCTTCCCTTGGCAAGCCTTACAATAGCCTTATTAGCAAGAGCCATCCAAGTTAGGCACTGGTGGCTCATACCTGTAATCTTAGCTACTCAGGAGGCTGAGATCTGAGGATCACAGTTCAGAGCCATCCTGGGCAGGAAAGTTCATGAGACTTTTATCTCTAACCACCGAAAAGTCAGAAGTGGAACTGTGCCTTGGCCCTGAGTTCAAGCCCAGGAACCCCTACCTCCACCCACCCCCCACACCCCCCCAAATGTGGATAGCTAGCCAGTCACTGCTAATTTGGTCCCAGCTGGGCCCTGGTGACTCACATGTTTAATCCTAGCTATGCCAGAGGCTGAGATCCGAGGGTCAAGGTTCAAAACCAGGAAAGTCCGTGAGATTCTTTTTTTAAATTTTTTTTATCGGTCCTGGGACTTCAACTCTGGACTTGGGCGCTGTCCATCAGCTCTTCAGCTCAAGGCTAGCGCTCTGCCACTTGAGCCACAGTGCCACTTCCGGTTTTCTGGAGGTTTATTGGAGATAAGAATCTCACAAACTAAAAAAAAAAAAAAAGAATCTCACAAACTTCCTGCTCGGGCTGGCTTTGAACCTCAATCCTCAGATCTCAGCCTCCTGAGTAGCTAGCATTAGATGTGTGAGCCACCATGCCCGGCTTGTGAGACTCTTATCTCTAGTAAACTACTCAGAAAAAGCTGGAAGTGGTGCTGTGGCTCACATCATAGAGTATTTGCTTAGAATCAAAGAAGCTCAGGGACAGTGCCCAGGCCCAGAGTTCAAGCCCCAGGACCAGCAGGAAAAAAAAAAATTCAGTCTTTAAAATTTAGAGTGGAATGGAGATGGTAGAGTATTCCTCTAGCATACATAGACTCTGGCCCATTCCCAGCACCACTAACAAAAGCTCAGCAGACCATCATTTTTATGTGAAGTTTTATTCAGTTTCAGTGTGTCATCATAAGTCCCTTTCTTTTGTCTTCTGCCTCAGGTATGAAAAGCAGCACACTAGCTGTGTGCTTGTGGCTCAGACCTTCAATCCTAGCTACTGAGAAAGCTGAGAGATGAGAACTGAGGTTCTAAGCCAGGCAGGAAAGTCCATGATTCCTTTCTCCAATTAATCAGCAAAAAGTCAGAAGTAAAACAGTGACTCAAGTGGTAAAGCACCAGCCTTGAAAGAAAAAGCTAAGGGATGGGCTGAGAAGATGGCTCAGTGGTAGAGCGCTTGCCTTGCATGCCTGAGGCCCTGGGTTCGATTCCTCAGCACCACATAAGCAAAAAGAAAAAAGCCGGAAATGGCGCTGTGGCTCAAGTGGTAGAGTGCTAGCCTTGAGCTGAA